TCACTATTTTTGTAGGCATTTTCCTTTTAATTTATTTAATAACTACAGATATCCCCTCAAAAAAAACCCCCAAAAGTCAAAAATAGTGCAAAGAAGTAAATTCGTGTCTTTAAATGAGAATTCTTCAGCTGATCATCTGTTGACCACAGCATAGAAATCACAGTAAGGAAAGTGTCGGCGCAACATCTAACTAACTTTCTAACACTTTTTAACCAGCTAAGAAACCACCATGGTCTAGAAATGGGGTGAAATGTCCACGACAAAGTGGTGTGATACTTAGCAGATGGTAGAGGGAAATCGAAATGAGCTAAAGCCTTGCAAAATGCTTTTGTCAGGGAGAATCACAGGTCTCTCTCTCACTTTTTTTCTTTCACGTCCCCGTCTTGCAAAATAGTTACATGTCCCTTCAAACACATGGCAGGTAGGAGGCTGTACTGACGATTCCCACTGCTACCGGCATGCATAGTCCGGTCTGTGTTTACAGCTAAGGGATGAAACACAGATAGGCTGCATCGCAAAATGTCTTTTTGTACATGTCACTTAAGTCGAATCCTTCTACTTCTACTATCCATTTAACCGAAGAAACAAACGTCAGAACCAAAGAAACCGAAGAAATCCATGTAACCGAAGAAACAAACGTCAAACAACACCAAAATTACCGGGTCCTTGAACGTTGCCGCTGAGTGATAGTTCACCTAACTAAATTTGTCCGACTGAAAGTCTTATCAATCTGAGCAATGGATTGAAATCAACATAAGCTCGGACAAATGAATCACTGCGGGCAAACCGTGGAGGCGCTTTTTAAATTTTCCACTTTTCGACATCACATACCCTTCCTGCTCCTCTCTTCCCCCACCTTATAATACAATACAAGTACCAATAAACCCTGCATAAAACCAATTCTCTTTTTTTTTGTTGTTCTCTGATCTTGTCCAGAATTATTCGAATCATCATCAAAAAACCCATCCGGAAACCCCGGTGTTCCCGGTAGCTTTCTCATTGACCATCAACGGTATTATACGATGGAAAAACTGTGCAGCACATGAGATTTTCAAAAAAAAAAATTTACCAACAACACCGGTGGTGCCATCGCCGATCTCGGCATCCTGACTTTTCGAAAGTTCAACCATCAAACGGGCCACATGATGCTGCACATCCATCTTCTCCATGATCGTTGCACCATCGTTTGTTATGGTCACATCACCATCGCACGAAACAAGCATTTTGTCAAGGCCACGTGGCCCAAGCGATGATTTGAGGGTATTGGCCACTGCTCGAGCAGCCAAAATATGGCTCTAAAATAGGAAAAAATCAAAAAAAAAAACTATCGTATCTTTTTGGAAAACTTAAAAAACTAAATATTTCATTAAAATATTCTATTTTACAAATAATTAGAAGCAAAAAAAAGATGAAAAGACAGGTAAAAAGGTTTTTTTTGCGGGGAGGGGGAGGGAGGGCAGAATAGGGTACTATTTGCAAAAAAAAATTTTTTTTAC